AAAACTGCAGCAGGACCAGAGAATCACAATCTGCCTCCTATCAGCTTTTATTGGCTCATTGGAGGATGGAGGGATTTTATATGAGAGACATTTTACTAAAATAGAGACAGTATTGTGCAAAAGTCTTGGTCTAATCATTCATTCTCTATACTGTCCTTCCAAGAAAGCTAAATTTCTGATCAGTTTAAAACTGATTGTGTTCAAACATCCTCCAGACTTTCTAATTTCAGTATTTTTGTTTTTCTACCAGGTTTGGCTTCTTTTTTTATTAAACACAACAGTTGTAATATATTCTTCATCTTAAATCCAAAATTATAAAAAGGTAATTTGGATTTATTCTTTATTTCCATAGAATTGAGCAAAAGAAACTTTGGGCATTGAGTTTGTTTTCCTTTTCATTTTCTAATAAATCTTCATCTTTCAGCATCAGCCTGTTAAAGTGAATATAAATATATGGATCTAATCTGTGCTGACAGGATGCTAAAAAGGTTAAAACGAAGTCTGGCTGCCCAGCAGCATCAAAGTAGAGCTGGTTTAAAAGTCTAAACAGAAAATACTGTAATCTGCATCTTAAATACATTATGAAATATAACAGAAGTGAACTTTAGTGAACACCATCATAGCTTAATGTTTTTTTTCAAGTGAGCCGTTTAGATGTGACTTAATGACATTATATTACATTGTAAATAATTATTTCATATCTACGATAGATTATCTACTTACAAACAGTTAATGAGTAATTATCACTCCATTGTGTGAACTGATGGTTTCCTCTTCCTCTACAGCTGTATTCTCTGCTGTCAGACTCAGTAACGTCGTTGATCCTATATTCACTGGATGTTGGAGAGTTTTGGTCATTTGTCCTCCACTCATACGTCCACTGAGTTTCTCCTCCTCCATTGATCTCACATGTCAGAGTGACCGTCTCTCCACTGAATATATGAGGCCAGTTGGGTTTCAGGGTCACATAAATGGAGACTGTTCACAGAAAGAAATCTGTGGTTAGAGAATAAAACTTTTCCTGCTATGTCAGGTTAAATTTATTAACCCTTAAGTTCAAGGGTTAAGATTACAAAAAACGTTCAATTAAAGAAATCATTGAAAATGCACAAAACATAAGTTAATTTTACAAGACAATGAATTATCATGAATAATATAGAAAAGAAGTCATTAATTTAAAATCCGTAAATCTAACAAATACTTTCCATACCAGGATACTGTCAGCTGTAAATATCTAATCTCAGCCTAGATATTCCTTTTTGTAACACCTGATCTAAGAATCAGTTTAAAATCATCCAAAGCTTGAAGATGCTAATGTCTTTCTCACCAGTTTTAACGTCGACTTCATTGCTGTATTCAGTGTAGAAAACTGGATCTCCTCTTCCTCCTCTGCAGCTGTAAACACCTTCATCTGAGACACTGAGGACTGCATCTGGTTCATTGTTTCTGATGAGCTGAGCTGTAGAAAACTCTGAGTTTTGTCTGAACCAGTCAAACTTCCAGCCGTCAGAGTTAAAAACAGAGCAGGTCAGTGTCACACTGCCCCCTGCTGGCAGGAATATTTTCTCTGGTGTTACTGTGGCTTTGGGTTTAGCAGCTGTCGTGGCAAAACATAAATACAATTAAATATTCAGATTATTGCTTAAAGAAATATTATGTTGTTACTATAAATCACGTATTCACCTTCTAGAACCAAACACAAATAATGAAACCTAAACATGATTGACAGGTCAGATTTACCATAATATGATGAATATGAATTAAATTATATCTTAAAAATATACAATAATAATAAAATGAAAGACATTTCGTTATTGTAAGCATAATCTCAAACCTGCATTCATAATTAAGTTCTGTCTTACAATTTCTAAAGCTACTTGTGTATTTATCAACCAGGAGGTCCAGAAGGATGAAGATCCAGACTGAACGACTCAGGAAGAGTTTTTAACATCAGACTGAAAAAACTCAAGAAAATCACAGAATCTGGAAATGTTTTCATCATGTTGCTGCTTATAGGATCACTGCACAATCTTCTTGTACTGTCAGAAATGTATTAATTATAATAAAATAATTTATTTGACATCTGCTAGTAAATCTTGTTTATAAACATGAGAGTGATTAAATATGTAACTATTTCAGTTAGTGGTGTCGATTAGTGTTGAACTCAGTTAATATACATTTAAATATGATACATTTCATACTGGAGAGAAACCATAATATAACATACATATATCCCGTTGTTCTTTAACATCTTGTCCAGTAGACAGTTTGTTGCTGCGATGTGATGCTAAATCTGATTCAGTGTTTATCTTTAACTACAGAATTCATCTTAACTCTCCTCTCTTTGCATCTGTTTAGTTTTTAAAACAGACACAGTTCTCCAAAATGTGTTCTCTCTCTCTCTCTCTCTCTCTCTCTCTCTCTCTCTCTCTCTCTATATATATATATATATATATATATATATATATATATATATAGAGAGAGAGAGAGAGAGAGATTATTATTATTATTATTAGTAGTAGTATTATTATTATCATTATTATTATTCTCTCTCTGTTTTCCAGTAATGCTACAGTTCAGTTCAATATCTGATGTTTACCAGAGAAATCACGAGAGAGCTTCATGAGGATCCTGGATCAGAAATGCTTCCTGTTCTGGTTTGTTTATGTAGATCAGTAAACTAAAGACAGAACATTCTCAGTATGAATGCAGATCAGTCTGACTCACATAAAGCTGGCAGTCTGAAGGCATCACTCCATTCTGTTAGCTGATTGTTTCTTCTACCCGAACATTGATATTCTCCACTGTAGGACTCAGTATCTGTGTTGATCTTGAATTCATTGGATGGTGTAGGGTTTCCACTGTTAATGCTCCAATAATACGCCCACTGAGGTCCTTCATCTTTCTGGATCTCACATCTCAGAGTGACTGTCTCTCCTCTGTATATCGGAGACCAGCTGTGTTGCAGAGTCACTGAGGCTGTGCCGGAAACTATTAAAAAATGCAATAAAAACAGAAACTATTATCATCCTTAAATTAAAAACTAGAAAGTGCCTGAAACGTAAATAGAAGATGAATGAGTTTGATTTATTTCATGAAATTCAACTTCCAGAAGTTAAAAATTAAGAACTGATCTAAATTAATCCTCAGAAAGTCTGCTATTTCATGTCAATTGCATATTTAAACTCAACTTTCTCAAAAATTAAGATTTCTTTACTCTCCGAAGTCAAGCTTTCTTTATTTTCAGTTCTGCAGCTGTAGAATCCTCCTTTTCTTATATTGAAAACTCCATCTGACCTAAACTCTGATTTAGTCAGACCTGTGGATGAGGTTCGTCTACAGAGTTCATATGATGAACCAGCAGGTTTCTCCACATTACAGTTCACTGTCACACTGCCCCCTGCTGGTATGGTTGTTTTGTCTGCTGTAAGAGTGACGTCTGTTTCTGTAAAAAAACAAAAAAACAAAAAAAAAAAAAACAATAAAACACTTACCATCACTTATATTTGGAAGATTTCTCAACAATGTGACTAATCAGTTTAACTTTTAAATCCAGAGCAAGTCTTAAACAAGTTGGACATTTTAAAAATGTACCATTTAAAAAAAAAATAATGGTAAATACAGTCTATCCAACAAACTACAGATTTTTGGAAAGAAATGACTAAATCACTGAATGTATCTTAGTCATTTTGTCTTTTAGGTCAGTTAGGATGAAGAAGCACAACAAAATAATTTTCAGAAACTTTTCACGTTTCAAGGGTACTAAAGTAAACTGATTCTGTAGAGGACAGAATATGCCACAATAATAGTTTTAAATATAGAAATTAATAGTCAAATATTGATCTTGTCCAAGAAAGTCTAATCCATTATAACAGCAGCTGATTTTTGTTCCTGTTTGGAATTATAAAAAAAAGTAAAACTGCATCTTTACAATTAAAAAAACATTAACTCAATGTTTCAGGTCAGCAAAACATTTAACTAATGAGATTAATAAATCTGAGTGTAAAGAAAAATGAAATAAGTAATTTTATTGTCCACATGAACTTTTTGCCTCCAGATGGCGCTGAAGAGAGAAAAGCTTTCAGTTTTCAGGTTTAGCTCAAATGTTTCTCCTCTAAGTTTCCTCACATGTCAATGTTCAGTTTTAAGCTTCTTATGGACATGATAACTCCATGTAACTACTGGAGAGACCAGGAATAAACACATTGAACAGTTTGTGCTTGAAACCAGAATGACGATGACTTTTTTACTGATAAGGTCGTTTCTACTTCCTCTTTATCTGATCTCTTGTTCTTACTCACTCTGACCTGATGAGATGATCAAAAGGAGAAACAACCTAATCTGCAATTAGTATTTTTT